CCGCGATGACCGCACCTTCGAGTTGATGCAACAAACCGTCCAACATCAGCTTGAGGCAGCACAACAACAAAGTCGAGAAGAGTCCTGCCTCCAATATGCAGAGTGGATACGGCAAGGTGAAACAAAGGGCCTCAAAGGACTCTTCAGATCCCTGAAAGCCAGTGAACTGTCATGGCAGCGACCATACCGTGATATCCCGATGGCTGACCGCATGAGACACAGGATGAAAGCATGGCACGCTCTGTGGAAACCGACCCGGGACGACCAGCCCATGACACGACTACCCTTGCAAGAAGCAGCCAAACAGCAGGCAGCACAACTACCGCCACTCACCTACGAGCACCTTGGCAAAACTTTGAAGAAACTCCCAGACAAGGCCTGTGGGCCGGATGCCATCGCAACACAGCTGCTCAGAACAGCACCCAAGCAGGCCCTGCAACCACTACTCACATTCTCCAGGCCATGGAGGCAAAAGCAGAACTCCCCACCCAGCTCACTATGAGCCTGGTCGTTATGCTCGCCAAAAACGAGAAGGTCGAAAGACCAATCACGCTGACCAGTGTGCTCTACAGAGTATGGTGCAGGATGAGGAAACCCATCCTCGACGCCTGGCAGCAATCCCTCCCTCCATCCATGGACTATGACAGAGCCCGACCAGGAGCCACAGCACTACACGTGGCTCTCGAACGGCTACTCAGGCAGGAAACCGCCAAATCCTTGGAGAAACATGGCATCACTGTGCTACTGGACATGAGCACCTTCTATGACACTCTGGACCTTCAGCAACTCCAACCCAAGACCTGCAATACCCACCCCTGGCCCTGGAGTTTGCCATGCAGGTCTACACTGGTCACAAGGCCATTCTCGCAGAGGGTGAGCTCAGCCCATGGTTCCATGTAACAACTGGAGTAGCAGCTGGCTGTCCCCAAGCACCACTACTAGCCAAAACCTTCCTACAGCCCATCCCCACCAGGTTCCAACAGGACAACCCTGACATGCACCTGAACGGTTGGGTGGATGACATTGGTTTCGATGGCAGCCACACGGATGCACCACTTTTGGCCCACCGCACCATCCAAGCATGGCGCCAACTTCGAGACAGCCTGACATCGGCCGGATTGGTGGTCAATAGCCACAAAACGGCCTTCATCGTTACCGACAAGATCATCCACAAAGAGCTGAGCAAACTCCTCGGCCCACATGATCCACCCATCCAGTCAGTGATGAGAGATTTAGGCATCGACCACACAGCAGGGCGCAAGAGGAGGATTGCCACACTACAACAGAGATTCCGCAAAAACCAGCAACGGCGGATCAAACTGCGAAGCCTCAAGTTGCCCAATCTCAGAACACGACTCAGGCTCCACAGAGGAGGAGTCCAGCCCGTGGCTTTCTGGGGTTTTGAAGGTCAAGGTCTAGCACCTAGATACAGGCTGGCACTCCGCCAGGGTTTGGCTGTGCACCTCAAACTTCATCAAGGTGGATTGCAAGATGTCATCTATGACCAAGTCAGCCAGAAGTTTGGGGACCCCGGTGACCAGGTGATCATGCACCACATCCGGGCACTACACACCCTCGTTTCCCATTGGCCGCCCGACCATATCCAGCACATCGAACAAGCTTGGCTCACACTCCGCAACCAGATCCACAAACAACAGCACCCGTGGTACCACGTGAAAGGACCCATGGCAGCCACTTTGGCATACCTCAGGGAATGGGGATGGACGACGGACAACATCTACCAGTGGCATCGACATGAAACAGCTTTCATGACAGAAGCCCACATCAACATGCAGGATGACTGGGCCACAATCGAGCAGACACTCCCCCTTGAGGCACAACAACAACGGACCAGCCGATTTGCGAGCAGGAAAAACGGTCAAAATTTGGTCAGCGGGCTCGACTGGACTACGGCCAAGAAGGCAGCAAAACTGCTCCCTAAACAACAAGTCCAACACATGCGGACTTGGAACCAGGCAGCCATTCACTACAGACAGGGCGACAAGATCAAAACATGCCCTCTGTGCAATGTATCAGCAACACCATAGCACATCGTATGGCTGTGCACCTGGCACCACAACCAGGGCCATGCCCCCCTCGCCATCGAATGGACCGAGAGACTCCAAGACCCTCTCGAAGAGCCCCTTTGGGCCCACGGCTGGGTACCCAAAGAACCGCAGGATCACCTGCAAGTGGCGCACCCGCTACAAGGACACGGGTGCTGGAACACCCTCGAACCCCTGCCTCTCCAACCTTGGCAAGGGCTTTCGGCGACATTGGACGCAACACCATCCTCCTATGACCAGCGATCCCAAGCGTGGATTTTCGCGCTTTGTGTCCACACCTTCTCACTGCGCACCCTGTTGCGGAAGGGCACCATCACGGGCATGGCACCAGGTCCACAGACCAAAGCCCGCGCCCTTTTCCAAGGGCTCATCACGCTGGCCCAACATGTTCTCACCCCAATCAATGTGATTGTGCAACTGGGCTCAGTTTGGGAGGCATGGACCAACGGAAACGGAAAGGTTTTGAGGACCTAGCCAAAGGCTTCGATGAGACGGAGGGAGGGAAGGAAGGAGGGGAACTGGAGGCAGGGAGCTTGAGGAAGGTAACTGGCGGAAGGGAACTGGAGGAAGGGAACTGGAGGCAGGCAGGTGGAGGAAGGGAACTGGAGGCAAGGAACTGGAGGAATAGAGCTGGAGGAGGAAGGGAACTGTAGGCAGGGAGCTGGAGGAAGGGAACTGGAGGCAGGAACTGGAGGAAGGGAGCTGGAGGAAGGGGACTGGAGGCAGGGAACTGGAGGAAGAGAGCTGGAGGAAGGGAACTGGAAGGCAGGGAGCTGGAGGAAGGGAACTGGAGGCAGGGAACTGGAGGAAGGGAACTGCAGGCCGGGATCTGGAGAAGGAACTGGAGGCAGGGAGCTGGAGGCTGTTGACGGAGATGGGGGTAGCGGGTGGTGGGTAGTAGGCAGGGAACTGGACGAAGGCGGCGAAGGGAACTGCAGGAGGTGGAGCTGGCCGAAGGGAAGTGGGGGCAGACAGGGAACTGGACGAGGAGTTCGGGCAAGGGAACTTGAGGAAGGGAACTGGCGGAAGGGAAATCGAATTCCTGCTGCGCTGCGCGTGCGCTGCCTGACCGTGCGAGGTGTGAAAAAAAAACAAGAACCAGCGGACCCCAGATGCACCAGGAAGTGAACCGCACTTGAGGAGACGCCAAAGGGATGCTGCCCTGGCAGCCTACGAAAGGGCCTCCACGATCAACAGGCCGAAGACTGGCAGAAGACTCTGGATCAAGATCACCTGCGGATCTACAAACAAGCTGCCGCAAGACTGGAGAAGATCTACAAAGATCCACAACACTACATCCATGAGAAGCCAGTCCGCCGAGCAGGGCATAACACCAAGCAGTACAAGAAAAGGCTCATCAACCAATGCAAGCTCCCATGGCAGCCCAACAAACATCAGTGGGAACCTCATAGGAGCGGCTACCAGTGCCACACTTGCCACACCCGCGTGCACCAGGGACTCACGGTTGAGGTCCTCGAACGTCACCTGCAGCAGGACTGTGAGCTTCTGGCACATGAGGCACCAGAACCCGACCTCCGACCCAACAAGCCAGTTGGCCAAAAGATCACTAGAGCCAGCACCATCAAGCAACTGATGGAAGTGCAACAGCAACACCCACAGGCGGCTGATGAACACACCTTTCAGGAGACGACAGGTTATCTCAAATGCACTAAGTGCAGCCTGTCAATCCACAAAAGAACCAATGAAGAGAGCTTCCAAGCTTTCCTCCGCAGCCGCTGCATTGATGAACACTATGGCAGGCCACATGGAGGGCATACCACTCATGCACTATGGCAGAAAGGCAAAGGCATCAGATGTGTGAATTGTGGCACCCAAAGCCATTTGGATGCAGAAGAACGCCTGATCCTGACCAAGGCACTCACAAAAGAATGCCAAGGCAACACACAGAGATCACCCACACTGCTCCAGCTTTTTGGCACCCAAGCTCAGAGCAGTCAGGCCGCCTCAGCAGCCGGCAGCCAGGCTGTACCAACCACACCTCCGCGAGAGTCAACAGCGGGTGAACACATGTCACCACCGGCACCCAAAAAACTCCGGTTCACGGCATCTGACACACCACAAAGACCGTGGCACGGTCTCAGCACCACAGGCCGCACGAGCACAAGGCACCACCACCTTCCCGACGACAGAGGAAGATGGAGAAGAAGAAGGACTCGAACAAGATGTCACCGTCGACTTCTTCTGAGCGGCTGCAAATGAGGCCCTAGGCCATAGGAGGACACCGCCAAAGAGCAGCAAGCCAACAACTTTAGGAAAAAAAGAACATACATACATACATACATACATACATACATACATACATACATACATACATACATACA